GGGGGGGGCGGGGGGGGGCGTTTCTTTCATATAAATGGAATAACGGAAAGACAGCGGTGACCGGATGGGAAAGGGAGGAGCACAGAGAGTTTCACAGCATGGCACTTGACATATTTCTTAACAAATCGGTTTTTTTTTTCCTTTTTTACTTATTTCGATTTTCCTTGCGGCGTCCATCTTTGTGAGAGTCTTAAGTATCCGGTTTCGTAATGTGCAACGAGAAAGGAAAACGAGCTCGTAAGAAGGTGCACGAACGAGCGTGCGTGTGCAACGTGACGCCGAGAATAAGCCTCGTACGTATTTGCGGTATCGACGATAGGAAAGAGAACCGCGGTGGCGCCCTCTTTTTTTCTGTTTTTTTCCTTCTTCAATTACAATCGATACCTGAACGCGTCAATTGAGATCCATCCTGTTAAGTGAATCCTCTCCACAAATATGAAGTGCCATACTTTGTTTCATGCGAATGCGACGAAAATCGGGCGCATATTATTTTGAGACTACAGACCTACATATGCGCTCACGTGAGACTCCCGATAACGTAGGGCACATGGCCGGTTCGTTTCTTTGTCTTTCTGCTCAGCGAATGCGAATGAACATTATCGTTTTACGTGTGTCCTGTCGCGTGCTCGCGTACTCGGCTGACTATTCGAAAGCTCCGAGCCAGTTACATGGAAGTGAACGTGATACACCCCGTATAGATATATTCATAGATTCTGTGGTTCAATGTTGCTCTTGCTGTTTATCTTTTTTCTCTCTCATCGCGGGCGAGAAAGATAGTCTGCGTTAGTGATAGGCCATGCACGTGTTAGCATTCGCGAGAGTCTTTCTGCTTCTCGACAGTATATGGATTATATGGAAAAACGGCGAGCAGACGAGTCAGTGAGAGTGAGAAAGACTGAGGGAAAATTAGGAGAAGAGCAGCGGTCCAAAAGGGCGGGAGGCTTGAATTGCCAAAGAAAAATCGACATGGCGTCGCCGACTTCACACGGATAACGATGGCGCACGCGCATTTCCACTCCTCGTGAACACACTTACTGACAGCGTGACAGCGATGACTGATGACAGAGCAAAAGAATGAATAATATTATTAAGAGCCAGTGGAATGGTAGTAATTAAGATATAAAGATGGAGAGGAAGAGAGAAGATAGCGAATGAGCGTGCGTGAGAGAGAGAGAGAGAGAGAGAGAAGGGGGAGGGAGAATCGAAAGGCGGGGGGCCATATTCATTGATTTTGCACCACACACACACAAACAATTGCTCTAATGTTTTTCGCGAAAAGAATTTAGAAATTCTCATTCTGTTTTTTTTTTTTTGGTTTTTTTTTTCGTTCATTGCTTAACTCTTTCCTTTTTAATTTCTCCTTTTTTTTTCTTTCTTATTCCTCGGAGACATCATTCGCGCGGATTGACGTTTCCGCGTACACACTCGCATTCCACCTCTCCCTTCCGGTTCGCGTGTTTTTTTTTTTTTTTTTTTTTTTTTTTTTTTTTTTTTTTTTTTTTAATAAAGAATTCGAGAGCCCTTCAATTAATTAACGATTTACGATACACAGACGATTCTCTTCCTTTTCCATTTAATCTTTTACTTCCGGTCATCGTTGTTTTTACCGTCACCTATAAACTTGTCCAGCCCTAAGTCTGAGATGACGTGTGAAAATATAACGAGTGATTCGAGAATCTCCCGCGAACAGCGTGACGATCGCCATGGCGACTTTATTAAGAGTTAGTTCAGCAAGCTCCGATAATGATAAGACGCCCTGCTATGATTAGGAAAGTGATAGAGAGCAAGAGATATGTGGAGATTCGAGTGAAAAGTTAAAATCAAGATAAACGAGAAATAACAATATTCCAATGTCAATGTAGAACCTGAGAGAAATGAGGAAATAATAATGAAAAGGAGTAAAAGTCGAAGAAAAAGTGAAAAAGATTTAAGATACTTTGGTAGAAGTATAATTATGTACGGGCACGCGTGAGAAAGATAAAAAAGTAACGGCACTTCATATATGTTGCATTTTGCCACTGACAATGAGAAATGAAGATGAAATTTTTATACTTTCTTTATCGCGTGAACGCGACACGACGTTCGATCGATGGATCGATCGTATTTACATTTCGATCTTTGATGCGATCGAGAAAATCGCGGATTTCTAGGAACAAGAGAAGAAAATATTCTCCCGGCTTTCATAAAAGTAGACAGAGTGTCAGGAAAAATCGCTAATCACAGACAGGACTGACCAAGATTATAGTGGGTTGTTTGTTGTTGGAATTTTCAAAAATTTTGCAAAACAAGTTTTCATCAACCGGGGGCTCAGCGGTGACGCTCGCTTCTTTCTTTGAGATCTCTTCTCCTCGAACGGGACGATTCGGCATCGTTCGACAGCATGGGGCCGGGAAAGTCGGGAGTCTACAATATCGTATATAGCGGACAATGGAAATTTTGAAAATTCATCTCGCACGAAGGCCAAACAACGAAGGATACTCCCGTGGCCCATACTCTCGTTCGTCACGTGCCGAATGGTAAAACGTTGCGTTCGCAAGAGAAAAAGAAAATAAGAGCGAGCGTGTCGGATCGGTAACGATAAATAGTACGAGGCATAAGAAAAGGTGTGCAATGACAATGCTAGTAACGATAACGGTAATGATAGTAGTAATAAGATGAAGAAGAATAAGAGGAAAAAAAAAGTAGAACGCTTGGTTTAGTCCTTAGCCGTGTTGTAGGTACCTCGTAGTCTCTTTTCCGAACTTCACGCTCCAAATCCCACTTCTGACCCTCACAAATGTAGACGCGGTCGTAATACATTTGGCAAATCCGCTTCAACTCGGCTACAAGAATGGAAGCAATCTCAATGTTTGACGATATGTAAGGTTGCGTCACGTCGTCGCTCGCAGATGAATTTCAGTCACTCTTTGTATCTTTTTTTCTTTTTTTTGTATTTTTTCGTTTTTCCTCCCTTTGACATCAATATCACACAGTCGAGGACAAACGCTTCTTCCGATCGCAATTGACTAGCTACTCAATCTGTGTCAACAGTTCGCCGTAACGTCGCTCCGCTTCCCCTGCTTCCCCTGCTTCCCCTGCTTCGCCACTGCTTCTCTTGACTGGACGATATTCGATATTTTTAAGGACGTCGCGAGGAAGCGAGAGAAACGTTGAGCAAACTGTGACGAGTTACGACGACGCTTCCTCCTCGATAGAACCTGCTCTGAAATCTCTTTGGGGCGTTCGTGTTGTTTTCGTGAAGGGACATGTGATGCAAGTGATGCAACCTACACGTGCAATGGGCGGATGGGGTTTCAATTGTTTATCAGTTCCTTTGTTTCTCCGTTTGACGTTTGACGTTTGGTCGTTTCTTTATACTCGGGACGAGTTATCTACGCTCGTGTCTAGCTAGTGCGAGTTCAAGAAATAAAGAGAATATTCAGCGTGAAAAGAAGAAAAAGAAGAAGAAGAGAGAAAAAAAACTTTCACAAAAAACCGTAAATTCCGAGTGGCATAGTATTTTTATGTATAAAAATGGTTATAAGAGTGAAATGCGATACGAGGATGACGTCGCTTTGGCGATATTGCAATTTCGATAGTCGTTCCCGTATTTTCTTTTTTTTTTTCTTGTCTTGGCTCAGCCCGCCCCTCGCCTCCCTCTCTTCAGCGAAAATCTCTCTCTACCGCCGGAACACGTTAAAATGACTTTTACTATGAAACCATCGAAATTACTACAAGCCAAAGTTCATCGTTCCGCATTCCGACCAGTGCACAGATGACTTTGTGTTTGCTTGAATAAAATCAATAAGTTTGAAGTTTGACCAGCCGGTTTTTAGTTACCTCAAAAGCTTTCATTTTAATTTTCCTCTCGAGGTCATACTTATCGCCCTCGAGCGCGTACAATCTGTGCCAGTAAGCCGCACAAATAGTCTGGAGCTCGGCTAAAAAAAAAGTAAGAATTCACGAAAAAGAAGTTTACGCAAAGACGGACTTTCGTTAGGATGACGAGGTCCTGAGAGAGCAGTGGGATTCGGGCCACGTCGCATTGGCTCCCAGAATCTTCATCAAGGCTCCACTCTTTTTTTTTTTTTTTTTTTTTTTTTTTTT